TCGGTGATCGTTGAGGGAACAGTGAGCACGTGCTCAGAGAACGAGCCAGGCTCATTCGTGGCGCTCACATCCACCACCTGCATACCCAGCAAGGAGTCTGTAATGCTGGTGCGCAGCTGCATGCGGGCAAACGGAGCGACGGCATCCACACGCCGCCCAAACGCAGCGCGGAGCCGCAGGCCTTGGTTCTCCTCCAGCACCAGGTTCGGAACGGATTGCCTCAGTGCTGTGCCAGGTTGCAGGAATGCCACTTGTGCGCCTGCTGCGGGCGGCGGCAGTGGCAGCCCGTATGTGCTCGTGGCTGAGCTGTGCACGCCGCCAAAGGCACCGGACACCGACCACCCAGGTGCACTCGTTGCAAAGAGGCCAGGGCTGCCCAGCACAGGCTCCTCAAACGAAGGGTTTGCAATGGGCACGTCAGCATAGAACAGGCCTTCGCTGGTCGTGCTGGTCGTGCTGGTCGTTGTGGTGGTGGTGGTAGTGGTGGTGGTTGTGGTGGTGGTTGTGGTTGTTGCAGGTGTTGTCGTGGTGCTGAGCAGCGACTCCGGAAACGAGGTCAGCGCCTGCCCAAGGTACAGCTCTGCCCGGTACATGGTGCCGGTGAAGAAGCTGGAGCCACCGGTTGAGGTCGGGCGCATGCCCACCGTTACACGGCACCCTGTTTGAGTACACGGTACAAGGCCGCTCGGAAGCGTGCGCGTGCCAATGGTTGCCCCATCGACATCGAGCCTCACAGTCACACCATCCACAGTCACGAGGATGCGGTGCGTCTGCCCATCAGCAAGGGAGCTGCCGTCAAGCACGAAACTGAGCGTCTGGTCGGACGCCTGGGTTGGATTGCTGCGATAGTACACAAACACGGCGTTGAGGTTGCGGCTGTAGTACACCGCCAGGTGTCGCGTGGATGGTGTGGCTAGCGCGAAGAGGTAGCCAAAGTCCACGATCTCTGCCTCGAAAGCAAGCGAAACAGCGTTGAGGTCGGCACCATCAACAACGGAGATGGGAACCTCCGCGCCTCCAGTGCCGTCAAATACGATGCCGGCACGTGTTTCATTGAAGGCAAATCCAGCGCTCGTGAGCAGGTTCACGTTGTCTTCGCTGGTTCCTTGTGCCAGAGACAAGGGGTTCGGCGCGCACGTTGCAAGTGCGAGTGCAGTGGTGATGAGCAATGGCACAGCCCATCGCAGCACAGCGAGTGGGCGCCCCATCATTGTGGCTTTCTCCGCTCACAGGCGTATGCGTCACGTAAAGAGGGCACTGCGTCAAGCCCGATGCACGACGGCGGCACAGGTTGCAGTTGCCGTGAAGGGACGAGGGCAGCGCGCAAGAAGGACACCAGGTGGTTGGTTGGTTGGTGAAGGCAGCGGCGTGTTCGCAAGGGCGCACAGCACAGGTTACGCACACAAGAGAGACCCAAAACAGGTGAGCCAATGGTAGCAATGATGATGTCGCTTTCGCGCAAAGGGGGGTTGCATGCAGGCAAGCAAGTAGCAGCACAGAAGGAGAGGCGGAATCCGATGCATCCCTAACAAGGTGGGGCCAGCACAGTGAAATTGGTTGGTGTGCGAGAGGTGGCTTACCGATTGTCGTCCTTTCGTCGTTCGTTGGTCCGTCCAAAAAAGCTGGAGATAGGGCGGGGGGTTGGATGACAAAGTACTGTTGTGAGATGCCGCGGTGTGGTCGTGTGAGGTGTCGCTGTTAGGAATCGCGCAACGAGCGAAGCACCCACCAAGATGCCACCAAATCAGATGCAGGTGAGGCTGAGCGCTGTTGGCCAGGTGGTGCTGCTGGCTGGCTTGAGGTGTTTTGCCACTGTGCCAACAGCAAAGCCAACGAGAACTGCAGCGGCAGGAGAGGAAACAAACAAAACAAGCGGCAAGCCACCGGCTCAATTTTTCAGCTGTTTATGAAAGATGCCGACCAATAATCTCAATGCGAGCGGCTTGCTTGCATGCAAATCCCAGAATGGGTGGGGCGAAGTGTGTTGAGGCATACATAACAGCAACAGAGCAACATCACTGTCAGCGCAAGCCAAAACACGCAGCAGCAAAACACAACATAGCACGCGTCAAAGCGATGATGAGCAACAAACGAAAAAGCAAGGAGGCGGGTTCGTGCGTGTGGGAAAGGATGAACATTTACACACAACACGAAACAAAACAGCAGAGGTGGAAACAGCGACGAAGCAGGGGAAGAAATCGAGTGGAGGAAAGATGTCGCAGCATGCTCCTTGCGGATCTTCTCAACCGTGCTCACAACACCCTCGTCGCTCTTCGCTGGCCGCGTCCTCCTTCTCCTTGAGCAGCTTGATGCCCTTGTACAGCGCGCAGATGATCTCCGCCTCCGTGATGCAGAAGCGCGCGCGTGGCGAGATGTCGCACACACCGCCCTCGCCAATCGGCGTGTGCTCTCCGCCAATCCCGCGCACGCTCAGCCCAAGCGGCTTGCACACCTCCTTCGCCTTGGCATCTGTCCCGTCAGCCGTCAGCTTCGGAAGCCCAATGTGCACGCTCGCGCGCATCCCCGTGCCCAGGTTCGTCGGGCAGCTCGTCACAACGCCGTAGTCTGGCGACATGGCAAACGACAGGCCCTCAATCCCGCTCACAACATCAAGCGCCGTCTTGAGCCGGTCAAACACGTCGTTCAGCACCGTGCCCTTCTTCATGCACATGATGCGCAGGTGGTCCTCCTCGCCAACCCAGATCACAAACCCGCGGTCCTCAGACACGTAGCACCCGCGCCCGTACGGCCAGTCAGACGCAATGCCCGCGCTCGCCAGGTACGGGTCTGCCGCCATGTCCTTGAACATGATGTGGTCCGCCACCAGCTGCTTGTACTCCTCGTCGCTGATCTTGTCCGGGTGCCCGGGCGTCAGCGAGTTGTACCCGCCCCCGTACTCGGGCATTGCCTTGAGCTTCTCAAACGCCTCGCACATCTGTGTGCCATGTGTGCCATGTGCGCGCGATGTGAGTGATGTGTGAGCGAGCGAGGAAGAGAGTGGGGTGGGGGCGAGGTGAAGCAGTGAGGGCTCACGCATCAGGGTATGAACGCACACGCATACACGCATACACATGCACACACGCATACACAAGGCTGACGCGGTCCTCCTGCGTCATGGCGCCTGGCAGTGGGAAGTCAGCAAGGTTGCGTGGTTGCGTCCAACGCGCACGCGCATGCTCAGGGCTGGCAGCCCAAGTGCCGCAAGGTCGAGCTGGAAGGCCTTCAACCCCAGACAGGTCCCAGCTGTTCACGTGCTTGGCATCCTCGGCAACGCCGTGGTAGTCCGCAATCACCTTGCTGAAGAACGGCTTGAACCGGTCGTAGTCCGCGGGCTGCATGGCGTCTGTGTCGTGCCGTTGTGCACGTGTGTTGTGTGTGTGTGTGTGTGTGTGTGTGTGTGTGTGTGCGTGTGCATATGTGTGTGTGTATGTGCATGTGCGTGTGCGAATGCGTGTGTACGTGTGTGTGAATGCGCGCGCGCGTGTGTGTGAGCGAGTATGTGAGGGGACGCATGAACACGTAGGCGAGAGAGAGAGAGAAAGTGTGTGTGTGTGTGTGTTTGTGTGTGTTGAGGCATACATAACAGCAACAGAGCAACATCACTGTCAGCGCAAGCCAAAACACGCAGCAGCAAAACACAACATAGCATGCGTCTGCACGCGCACGGTGTTGTCGCATCTACTCACAGCAGCCCATGGAAGAGTCTGGGTTCTCGAGACCGCTGCGAATGCACTGGAGCAGGTCTTTGGTTTCCTGTGCAAGGCTGAACAAGTAGTCCAGGTTGATGTGCTTGGCCATGCGGTTCTCCGGGTGGTCTTTGCGGATGCTGCGGATTGTCTCGGAGATCTTGTCCTCATCAACAGGCGCTGCATCGTGCGTGCATTTCACATTGAGCAGCTTGATGCCCTTGTACAGCGCGCAGATGATCTCCGCCTCCGTGATGCAGAAGCGCGCGCGTGACGCAAGGAGGAACAGTTGGGTCACTTACTTGGCGATTTGCCGATGGGAGGGAGCGGCGTGCGTGCCTTGCCCTCGGCGTGGGCCGGCGTTAAGGGTTTGCCCTTGGAAGGGGTGAGCGGGGCCAGGGGCATGCCAGCCTTTGCCGGAGGCTTACGGTGGTGGCCAGTCTGCACACGGGAGGGGGCTTTGCGCGTGCGCCGCTTGCCGACAAACATGTTCCACGCGTACGTGGTTGGTGGGTTCTCTTGCACTTTTGCCATGCATTCTGCAAGGAACCTGATGGGATCCTCTGGCTGGTGGTACATGAGACCTGCCATCAAGCTCTGGCAGCAAACACGCAAGCGAAACGCGGCACAAACGGTGTTGTTGAGGGAGTGTGTGTCTTCGTACTCATGATGCTGTGGCACGTACTTTTGGTTTGCCTTCCATACACAAGTCACGTTGTCTCACCAACGGGTACAATGGATACGGGGCAAGGCACATGCACACAAACAGCACAAGCAGCCCAAACAACAAGGAAGCAACAACCCTGCTTTCAGAAACACCAACAACCAGAGCTACCTCGAAGAGCTGCGGAATCTTGTGCTCAGCGACATATTGCTTGCCGCTGTGATCTCTCATCGACATGATGCTGGTACTCGCCGAGCGACGGCAGTCAATCGCAGGACACGATGTTCGATGCTGCTGCTCGCTCTCGTGTCCTCGTGTTGTTGGCTGGGTGGGTGGATGGATGGATGGATGGATGGATGGATGGGAGGAAGGACGCACACAACAACAGAGGAAGTGGGGGTTGTTTTGTTTGGGTGTCAGTGGCTGCTGGTTGTTGTTGTTGTTCCTATGTGCGGTGGATATGTCAATGCGCACCGATTGTTGATGCTGTTTATGTGCGAAACATACAAATTTCGCGGGAAACAGGCGTTCCTTGGCAACCTCTTCCTCTTCAGCGAAACCTGCTTTGCACTGCCACAAACAGCTGCTTGGCAACCTCGCGCCCCTGTTCTTCCCAATGCCGCCGCCCTTGCTCATACTCAGCAGACCCTGAGACGCACGCAAGAGGTTGATGAGGGGGGGGGGGGATGTGTGAGGGAGAGGTGGGTTTGCTCTTTCTTGGTTGCAGAGCAATGCAGAGCCTCCAAACAGCACAGATGCACACAGCCACACATGCACAGGGAACAGACAAGTTGCACACATCCCACAGAAAGACACGCAGGCACGCAGACACACACACACACACACACACACACACACACACACACACACACACACACACACCTGCAGGGTGGACAATGTCTTTGCCTGTGAGGTTGGCGCCCATGCCAACGGAAAACGCGCCTGCATCCCACCACTGATGCGCGTTATCAGGTGAACAGCCACCAGAGGGCGCAATGTTCATCTGGCGCAGCGGAGACACGCTGAGCATCGACCTGAGCGAGGCACGCAAGATGTCACATGCCATGGTGTGCCAGCGTTGTGAGTCACTCAAAACAACACAGTGTGCGGCACCACCACAACAATCCTGACACCGCAGTCGCAACCACACCATTTGCAACCGCACTCAACCGTCAACAAACTTGAGGATTCTTGGGCCAAGCATGCTGGCATGGAAGAGTTTGATGACGCGCGCCCCGCGGCGGTGCATATCCCACAGCTCATTCGACGTCATCCCTACAGTGAGACGTGCGTGCGCGTGCGTGTGCGTGTGCGTGTGCGTGTGCGCGTGCGTGTGTCTTGTGAGTGTGCGCGTCACACATGTGTTTGAGGAACACTCGCGTGTGAGTGTACACGTGCACTTGTGGAATTAGCTTGTCTTCATGTGCACATGTTGTGCGTCTCGTGCGCGCGGACATGTGTGTACCTGCGGGAACAGCGAGGACGCCGTGCTTGTGACATTCGTCAATGAAACCTTTTGGCTCAATTGGCGACAGTGCAAACGCAGCACCTGTTGCAAAAAGTTGCGTGAGAGGAACGTGACACATCCCAAGTAGCATTGAGAGGTAACGGCACACGAGAGAATGGGTCGCAAGATGGTAGCGATGCATGCGCGTTGTACACATCGTAACACCAACAACGCAAACACACACACACACACACACCTAGGGCAGCAATGTCCTTGATGATGGGCACATCCACATCCATAACTGTGCCGACGCCGACACACACGTGCGATGGCACCTTCGCTGCAAGCTCAGCCAGCACACGGCGCCAATTAACCTGCGCACGCGCAGCAACAACAGCGTATGGACACACAGCAAGGAGGGGGTAAAGTGAGGTTGGGATGGCACAACACACAACACACAAACACAACGCCACATGGACCACGTGGGGCACGTGCGTGTTTCAGCGCGTACGGTGTCGAGGGTGACTTCGATGGCCCTGCAGCCCATGTCACACAGCTCCAAGCCCCGCGCAATGGCTGGTGGCCACAAGAACCAAGCATGAGGGAACGCGTGCACACACGTGAGTTGGGACAACAGCACGCGAAACACACTCTCATCGTGTGCATGCGTTTCGTGCATCTGTGTTTGTGTTTGTGTGCGTGCGTGTGTGTGTTGTGGCGGGCCAAGGTTGGGCGCACCTGCATCTGGGTTCTTTGCGCGCAGAATGGCGATGACGCCTGCTCGCCGCAACTTGGCCATGGTCGCGTCAAGGCGCCTGAATTCGACACACAACACACACACACACACATGTTCGAGACACACACACACACACACACACACACACACACACACACACACGCACGCACGCACACACACACACACACACACACACACACACACGTACATTTACACACAACGCATGCATACAAAACCGTGGCCCTGGTGAGTGCAAGGATGATAGAGCGGTCGCGTGCAAGAATGGCAAAACAAGACATTCGTGGTCGCACGTTTCCACGTCGTTTGTAGATGTGTCGAGTGTCTCGATGTTGAGTGGTTTGCCCTTCGACTGCGCTTCTACAGACGACAGCTGCGCCCGTGTCACCTGCGAGTGGTCGCCTTGTGTCTCCTGACACATGGCTGAGCGTGAGTGAACATGAGTGCATGAGAGCGAGCGAAAAATGAGTGAGTGGATTGAAGTTGACAAGGCGGTGATCATCACGCGTCCACAAGACCCTGCCTACGCGATGACAGCCATGTCAACAACGAAAACCGCAGGTATTCACTACAAGCACACACACACACACACACACACACACACACACACACACACACACACACACCGACACGACACGACACGACCCAAACTCATTAGCAACCGCTATGGGTAGTTTAAACCTGGTGGCTGCCATGTACCGTCGGAGCAGCCTCACAGTCCGTGGGACGGTACATTACCATGGGTGATATCCCAATGACCGACAAATACACACACACACACACACACACACACACACACACACACACACACTCGCACGCACGCACGCACGCATGCACGCACGCGCGCACACACACACACACAATCACACACGCACACACCAGCCAGGATGTCTGCATGTCTGGCTGCGGCTGTGAGGGATGGCGAATTGTCGTGGCCGTGAAGCGAAAACCTGAGGCGTTGGTGGTGACGCAGGCACATTGCCACGCACAGAGCCGTGTGAATGAGGCACGGCGGTTGCACATTCGCACAGACACACACACACACACACACAGACACAGACACAGACACAGACACACAGACACACACACAGAGACACAGACACAGACACACAATACAACACACACACACACACATACAACCCAACACACACGGACACATACACACACACCCGACAGATAGACAGACAGACAGACAGACAGACAGACAGACAGACAGACAGACAGACACACACACACATGACCGCATTGCCCACCAGTCCAGCATGCCTGCTGCCCAGGCACTGCCGCCGCCACATTCGTCCTTTGGGCGATGGTACACGGGCGTGACAAGCGTGTTGTGCACACCAGCGTCACTCGCAATCACTGCACGCATGCATGTTGGCAAGCAGCGGAGCCAGCGTGAGGTTGGCACGATGACACGATACTAGGATGACATCACACGAAAAACATCATTGCATGCTGGGCAAGCACGTTGCGAACATGTTTGTGTGCACAAGTGCACGCGACATGGGGCGGCTTCCCTCCATTGCCGCTCACCTGACCACCGTTTCTGGAGCCCAGTCTCGTCACGCGTCTTGAAGCACACGGCAAGGCGACGCACACACACGTGGTGCTGGAAAGCACGCATCAGTGCACCCCACGCTGCATCCTCGTATGGCGTGTCGGCGGCAGGAACGTGAGAGCGCAGCACCTGCACGTGTACGTGTGTGCGTGATGTGTGATACGTGATGCACGTTGGCATGTGTGAGTGTGTGTTTGTGTTTATGCGTGTGTGATGTGTGATGGTGGTGTGTAAGTGCCAATCACGCGTGCCGTGAAAAGAACAGAATCAGGACCTTCGGTTTCAAATCAGCATCACAAGCTGGCGACTATACCGGAAGCTCCTGGTCAACAATCTCCAGCAGTGACGCGACGGAGAGGATGAGCAACTCCACGTGCTGCAAGTGGGGAACCATGATGGACCACAGCTTCGACAGAGTGCCTAGATGAATGATGACACACAGGTGTTGGTGGGGAGATGAGATATGGTATGACGACACCGAACAGCAACACTGCACTGGTACGGATGTGCTCTGACCACCTCTCACTGTCACACCCACTGTCTCTGGTCGTCGCTCACTCTTACATGAACACACACACACACACACACGCACGCACGCACGCACGCACGCACGCACACACACACACACACACACACACACACACACACACACACACACACACTCACTCACACGCACACACACACACTCACTCACTCACATACGCACACACACACACACGCGCACGCACACACACACACTCACACACGCACACACACACACTCACACACACACACACACACTCTCTCTCTCTCGCTCTCTCGCGCGCGCAGAGGCAGAACGAAAGGGGGCACCGAGTTGTTTGCGGTGGTTGAAATCGATGCTGATTGGAATCCTGCGCTTGATGGCCGTCATCATCGCACGTGTCCACGAGTTGTACGACTATAAACAGCGACATACAGACCACAAGAAGACAGTCAACGTGAACACGCAGGAGCAGTCAGTATCATGCACAACAACAGCGTGCAAACAACATGGTAGCATGCTATGAACGCACGTTCTCGGAGATCATTGGCGTGATGCCCGTCATGTGCAGCCACTTCTTGTCTGACCCTCCCAAGATCTGAAGCAGGGTGCGGTGCGCCTGTGAGTATGCATATGACAACGCAAACGCAGGCTTGGGCAGAAAACGTCGTGTTGACATTCACAGCACACACAGGGCATGTACACACACACACACACACACACACACACACACACACACAGATGCATGACATGCACACCCACCCACCCACACCCACCCACACACAACATCCTACATCGCAAACCTTGTCCCAGTCAAGCTGGCTCGGGTCGTGGAGCGCAAACGCAGAGTGCTGGCGCTGGTAGTGCACCCGCTTCAGCTCTGGCAGGACAGTGAAGGTACCGACATCGGCACCGGGGATGCGCAGCACAAACTGCTGGTCGACCCCAGCCAAGTCACCGCTGCGGTACACCAGGTCGCCCAGCGGCCCCGTGGGCAACACTGACACCCACTGCGGCGCGGGTGTGCTCTGCTCGCGCTCCCCTTCCTGTTCGTCGGCTCTCAGGCGCGCAAGCGCAACACACACGTTCAGCTCATCTCCTCCAATGGAACGCAGCATAACCTGTGCATTGGGGCTGTGCGAGCATCCCCCCGGCACAAGTGGGTGTAATCATGGCGCAAGTGTGAGAGACACGTTGAAGGCTGTGTTTGTGATTGCTGGCTGGCACAAGAACTCACCTCAGCCACCCCCACCGCCACCGCCAATGCCATGAGGTGTCATACACCAACCAGTGAGCCAGCATACTCACTCCTCAGGTGCTTGATCCACTGCCATTGGCGCATACCGCACCATGGCTTCTCCAAATGCGACCACCCGCATCTCGCTCGCTCGCTCCAGTGAGTGCTTCGTGGTGATGGCTGCTGGTGGCTGGCTCGACAACAACAAACACAAACAAGAGGCTTGAATATTCGTTCAAATCATTCACAAATCGCCAACAACGGCTGCTTCAGCAGGAGGAGGTGTTGTGGTTGACAAGAACACACAAGCAGGTTCTGCTTTCCTTGGCTCCTTTGCTTGGGTGGTGTTGGTGTCGTTGGTGGTGTTGGTGCAACGAAGACACTGGTTGACTGTGTGTGTGTGTACGGGTGAGCGAGCAAACAGAGTTGTTGAAGACAATGTCGTCCCAACAACGTAACGTGGCGGATTGGGAAGTGGAGGAAGTTGTCCTCTTCTTTGTGCAGAATCGGTTGCAGAACTATCTTTCGATTGTTCGCACAAACGCCATCAACGGAAAGAAGCTCCTCTCCCTTGATGACAGCGCGCTCGCCGACCTGGTATGTGAATGGGCATGTGGAGGGGAGGGGGGTTCCATTGTTTCCTTTGTGTGCGTTTGTGTATTTGTGTGTGTAAGTCTATATGTGTGGCTTTTTTAATTGCTTTTCTTTGTGTGTGCTCTCTTGCCTTGAATGTCTGCATCTGCACTTGGCTGAGATGGCCGTGACAGCTTGTCCCGTGTGCATCAGATAACCCGGTACCTCACACCGCGCCTGCTTGACGTCTTTTTCGACGTGCAGGGCATCAGCAAAGCGGATGATCGCCAGCGATTGCTGGAAGAGCTAAGAAAGCGCAGGCGACACGCCTCCTTCACATACTCGGAGGTGCAAGCAACGCGTGCCGCCCAGGATGCGCAGGCGGTGAAGGCAGATGACATTGTGATGAAGCTGCGGGGCATGTTCCCCGACATTGCCGAGCCAAGCATTCGGTATATCCTCTCGTCGAACAACAACAACGAGGCGGCCGCACTGGACACCCTCCTTGCCCTGCAAGCGCTCGGGCGCGAACCAAGCAGCCACAGCGACGACGACGATGGCAATGACGGCCATCAGGACCAGCACCGTCACCGTGCGGGTGGTGGCGACGTGTTCAGACAACAGCAGCCCGCGAGGGAAACAGTGCGGCGGCATTCACCGCAGCGGACACGTGTGCATTCGAGCGACCACGGCGGTTCCACGGCCGGCGAGGGCGACGTGAGCCGATACGGGAGCCACGTCGAAGGCGCAACCTTGCAGCTGCAGGGCGTTAGTCTTGGTGAATCCTCCTCGGATTCGGTGAGTTGAGTGTGAGTGTGATTGTGTGTGTGATTGTGTGCTTTTGTGTGTGTGATTGTGTGATTGTGTGCTTTTGTGTGTGTGTGTGTGTGTGTGTGTGTGTGTTTGTGTGTGTGTGTGTGTGTGTGTGTGACATGTTTGCGCGTGCATGTCGCCGCTTATGCTGTGCGTTCGATTTGTACGTTCCTCACAAGCAGTGAGAGCATAACGTCATCAGCTGTCCCCTGCAACCGTTTTAAACGCACTCGCTCACCTCGCCTGCATGTCTCCCCCCCCCCGATCTATCTCCATTGCACCAGCCCCGCCGGCACGGCACCATGCGGCGTGGCGAGCGACACGTGTCTTCGTCTGCGCTGCTGTCGTCATCTGACGTTGATCCCGCTGTTGTCGACCATATGTGCGGCCTCTTCCCGGAGCTGGAACCCGAGCTCATCGTCCACGCCCTCGAACTTAACGACGGTGCGTGTATGAATGCGTGGTCGTGTGTGTGTGTGGTGTGTGTGTGTTGTGGTGTGTGTGTGTGTGTTGTGGTGTGTGTGTTTGTGTGTGTGTGTGTGCGTGTTTGTGCGTGAATGCGTCTGCTGGTGTGAGTGGATGTCTGTGTGTCTCTGGCTTTGAAATGCGAGAATGCGGTGAGCTCAAACCACCACCACCACCATCTTGATGTCCAT